AGTAGGAGTCTTTCAAGGTGCTGGATCGGGCCTGCTTGTGGGCCCAGCTCTGATACTCTCTTTCTCTCTGTTTTGCAGTGAAGAAAGCCAAGCTAGATGGGCCCCAAGGTGAGTGGCTGAGAACACACCTTCACAGCATGGTCTACTGCGTTGGGTCACAGCGTTTTCATTCCTTTTCTACCATCTGGGGTTTGGCCAACCTCGTCCCCATCCCGGCAGTGAGATCTGGTGATCAGAACAAGGCATAAGGGCGCCAGTGAGATGAGCGCTTTTCCAATCCTCTCATTACTGTGTTAGTGAGACGCTTGTCCAGAGTCTCATTGTCTACAGGTGCCCAGAGAGCTGGTTTCCACAGCACAGCTGGGCAGCTCATGTCTGCAGACGTGCTTCCTGGTTTCATTCCTAACTGCTAGAAGACGCCTTGCATCCTTGTTTTGCTGTTGTTCCTTATAATTTGGAACGTGGATCATTTTTTGCCAATTACATATTTCGCATGTGCCACGAAATTTGCAATCAGCAGCTCATCGCGCACCGACACCTGTGCGAGCTCCTGCGACAAGCCCACCCGCAGAGCCGTTCGTCACGTGACGCACTGTGAGCCCCACAGAGACGGCTCTGATTGGAGGAGATAGCCGGTCTCTCATGACCTCACTCGAAGCCAGCAGGCGCTCTGTCAATCCCAGGAGGCTCTGTTTCTCAGGAAGAGCCCTGGCTGACGTATCCCACTGCTGCCCCCAGGGACCCTGCTGCAATTGTGCACCTTGTGCACAGTGGGAATCCCAGCCACTTGAATGCAACTGACACATGGAGGAACTGCATGCCTTGGTCAGACTCTGAGCCACGCTCTCAACACTAAAGAGACTCTGCAGTTCTAACTTCTGAAAGCACCTCTGTCTGTCCCTCTCTCTCCCGCAGAGAAATTCAACACGTACGTGTCTCTCAAGGTGCAGAATGTCAAGAGCACCACCATCGCGGTTCGCGGGAGCCAGCCGTGTTGGGAGCAGGACTTCATGTTGTAAGTTGAGGCCTCCTGTGTCTCACAAATGAAGTTGCCATTCTGTTTCCTCACTCCGGTCAGTCATTTCTCACTCCGGTCCATGGTTCGTTACTCCAGCCTTAATAATAATTCCTCACACTTATATAGCGCTTTTCTGGACACTCCACTCAAAGCACTTTCCTCCACACCCACCAGTGTGCAGCCCCACCTGGATGATGCGATGGCAGCCATAGTGCGCCAGATCGCTCACCACACATCAGCTCTCAGTGTAGAGGAGAGCAGAGTGATGAAGCCAGTTCAGAGATGGGGATTATTAGGTGGCCATGATTGGTAAGGGCCAATGGAAAATTTGGCAGGACACCGGGGTAACACCCCTACTCTTTTCAAGAGACACCTTGGGATTTTTAATGACCAAAGAGAGTCAGGACCTCAGTTTTACATCACATCCGAAGGACAGCACCTGTTTACAGTGTAGTGTCCCCGTCACTATACTGGGGCATTAGGACCCACATGGACCACAGGGTGAGCTCCCCCTGCTGGCCCCACTAACACCTCTTCCAGCAGCAGCCTTAGTTTTTCCCAGGAGTCTCCCCTCCAGGTACTGACCAGGCTCACACCTGCTGGGCTCCAGTGGGCTGCCAGCTGTGAGTTGCAGAGTGATATGGCTGCTGGCAGGGAAGCCTTCCTTCCCTGTTTCCAGCCCATCCCTACAGGGGCTGGGACGTGAGCTCCTGGAGGCTGGGTGATCTGACGGAGGAGAGCTGTGGAGAGTCCTGGTGCAGCGAGAGCTTTATCAATAGCACCAGGGCCATGAGGGGGGTGCAGTCCTGCAGCTTTCACAGATGATTATCAATAAGCAACTGATTAAGACTTAAAAAAACAGATGATTGAACATCTTATGTTAATAATTAATTCAATAAAGCCCCGCAGTGAAAAACAGGGACCAGTGGCTGGGAAGGACTGGAATTGTGTGTGATTGTCACTCTTCCACTCCTGCCTCTCGCTCTCTCGGTTACATCCCACTGCCTCCCTGTAGGTGGCAGCGTGGCGTGAGGCTAGTGTCCAGGACTTGTGCCTTGGAAGCTGTGGGCTCAGATCGCTCCAGTAAATGCCCTGCTGTGTAAATGGGTCCTGACTTTTTTGGTGCAGTAACACGTTACTCTCCAGCCTCAGCGTCCCCACTCTCTCTCCCCGCAGTGAGATCAACAGGTTAGACCTGGGCCTGACGGTGGAGGTCTGGAACAAGGGCCTGATCTGGGACACCATGGTCGGTACCGTGTGGATCCCCCTGAGCAACATCAGGCAGTCAAACGAGGTACAGTCCCCCTGTGTGCTCTCGCACCGGCGCTGAGACTTGTCTTCCCGTCCATCGGCTTGTCTTCAAGTCCAGCCAGCAGCCCTGACCGTCGCTCTTTAGTTCCGAGAGCTCCTCCTCTGTACAGACCTGTGCAGAAAGCTGAATGTTACAGCAGTGTACAGTGCAGGTGCAGTGATAAACAAGCAGTTTTTACAAGAGTGGCATTGGTGAGCTGCAAAACATTTTATACCTGCATCTTCTGTCACAAGGACTTAAAAAATGTGGGTGTTTTTCTTCCTTCCGAAAGAAAAGCTTAGGGGAGTGTCTTTTTTCCCCCTCCAATAGGAAAGCTTAGGGGAGTGTCTGTTTTTTCCTCCCTCCAATAGAAAAGCTTAGGGGAGTTTCTGTTTTTCTCCCTTCCAATAGAAAAGCTTAGGGGAGTGTCTGTTTTTCTCCCTTCCAATAGAAAAGCTTAGAGGAGTGTCTGTTTTTCTCCCTTCCAATAGAAAAGCTTAGGGGAGTGTCTGTTTTTCTCTCTTCCAATAGGAAGGCCCAGGGGAGTGGCTGACCCTTGATTCCCAGGTCATCATGGCAGACAATGAAATCTGTGGGACGAAGGATCCCACATTCCATCGTGTGTTGCTGGACACGCGCTTCGAGTTGCCACTGGGTAAGTGCAGAGCTTTTCCCTGCTGCTCAAGTGTAACAGTAGTTGTCTGAGGTCATGTTGATTATAGGGCAGAAGGAGGGTTTTTCCTAAGTCTCCTCACAAGGAGACTTCCTAAGTCCTTCCTTGTGAGGGTTTTAAACATTAGCCCAGGACCCAGTGGAAAGATCAGAGCAGGATACAACACGTTAAAAACACAGGTGGTATAAGACGGCGTAGAGGTCAGTGGTCACCTCTATGAGAGTGTCGCTCAGTATAGAGGACAGTGGTAATTGTGGAAGACTGGTCAGCTATGTAAGAGAATGCCCCTCTGTGTGCAGAAGAGTGAGCTCTGATGGGCTTCATTCCTTCTTTATACCATTCTGACATTTCCCTGTGTTCCTGTCTGTGGTCCAGATATCCCAGAAGAGGAAGCACGCTATTGGGCCAAAAAACTGGAGCAGCTGAACGCCATGAGAGACCAGGATGTGAGCTGGTTTCTTCACCCTTGTCTAGAATCGGGTAGTTCTCTGCCTACAAGGCCTTTCAATGCCAAGACACGTGGGGAGGGGTTTGGTCTGCTCCCTTTGGTATTTCTCACTGTCTGATGAGTTGCGAAAAGCACAAAACGATCACAGCGCTAGGCCTGTGTCTCCTCCTGCTCCTGCCAGGGGCTCAGCCTGTGCTGGTTTGCTGCTGCTGCTGATGCCTGTGGCTCACAGTGTCTGTCTCTCTCTGTCTCTGTCGGTATCATCAGTACACCTACCAGGAAGTGCAGGAGAGGCCCCTCCCCGTCCCGGGCACACAGTGCTGTGAGTATCGCTCTTCCACGCTCTCTCCTCTGTCCAGGGAGGGTGCTGGCAGGCCAGAGCTCACCCCTGTGCCAGGACATTATTACCGCCAGCGGAGACTCTGGCCAGCTGGTGGTGTAAGGGGAGCTGGTCCAGGCTCCCGCGAAGCGTCGTTCAGGACCCTATGCAGCCGGTATAATCCGGAAGTAAGTGGAGAAGGACAACAGGGAGGAGACGACGAGGATCAGGATGGGTTGACGGACGGGGGGGGCGTGACGACGGTGATCCGGTGCTCGGGGGCCGTGGCGATGGCAAACAAGTTCAGGCAGTCCAAGGGGAAAATCCGGGGCGTAGTCCAGGGTCCAAAACCGGGTGATCCATCCAAGAGAAGACAAACACGGTTAAAATCCGGAACAGGATTCGGAACAGGGACAGGGAATAAAACCAAAGGAACGAGGCCAGACGCTCCGAGCCCCGGACTCAGATGGTCAGGATGCCGTGATGAAGCCGATGCCGCCGGGTCTCTCCTGGACCCGCTGGTAGGCAGGATTCCGAGCGTCCAACTCCCAGTGCTGAGCCACTTGGGGGTGCTGCCCGCCTGCCCCCCCCCCTGTGATGAGGCTGGGGGGTGCAGCAGAGCAGACACAGCCGGCCAAGAGCAGCAGGTCAGTGCCAGCTTTGCGCCTGGCATGGTGAGTCCCAGGCGGCTCTCCGCCAGCAGCTGGCTGCCAGGGTGTCTTTCCCTGATGTTCTCAGGCCGTGTTCCATCGGTGACATCAACCCGCTGGAGCTCCGCAAGGCCGTGATTCTGCTTTCAATTCCGCGCCAGCGGAGGAGGGATCGGCCAGAGCTCTGTAGATGCGCTGAGCTGAGCTGTTTCTCTCGCCGTCTGCAGATCTCCTTCCCAGCAGCCTGTCCTGCTTAGCTCACTAGAACACCTTTGCTGGGATAAATGTGGTGCCGCTAATTCAGAGGGAGGTGTCCTGGAGAAATCTGAGAGTGTCTCTGACAGTGCTTGTTGCTCTTGTTACTCGGGGGAGTGCTTTAGGTGCTTCAGGTGCCGATGTCTGCCACTGTGTCTCCTCTGTTCTTCTCTTTTTCTGCAGGTAACTGGAATCTGTGGGGAGACCAACAGAGTGAGTGTTTCTCTCTGCTCCTTGTTCATCAGAAGAGTTTCCCCCTGGGCTGTTAGGCAGTCAGTGTGTCAGTCAGTCCTTCAGTATTGACACGAGTCTGTTCCGAGAGGACATCCTGAGGATCGCATAGGCCCGAAGCCGGATCCTCTCCTGGGGCGCGTGTCCCCTGTCCCAGAGGTGCGGCGTCGGTCTGTGTCTGCAGCTGCCCCAGAGGCACTGTCTCACGAGCCCTGCGCTGTCTCTCTCGGCAGACGACGACCCCGACAGCGCCGTGGATGACAGGGACAGCGACTACCGCAGCGAGACCAGCAACAGCATCCCGCCGCCGTACTACACCACCTCCCAGCCCAACGCCTCGGTCCACCAGTATCCCATGAGGCACCAGCACCAGAGCTCCCGCGACTCCTACACCGACTCCATGCACAGCTGTGAGCTGGACTACTCCGACCACCAGAGGGCGATGAGGTAGCACAAGCAACACCCAGTTCCCTTTGCCCCTGGACGGCCGACCCTCCCCTCTAGATGTTACCGTGGTGTACCATGGTAAAAGCTGACTACAAGGCAGTTAAGCCCAACAGAGAGAAGGCTCAGCCTGGCAATGAAGGGTACCAGGGCAGAGTACTGTCCTGGTATGGTATGGGCATGGTAAAAGAATGGTAAAACTGCCAAAACAGCAGATTTACTATGGTAAACCTCTATAAGATTTGGATTTGATATTAATTTGATCCAGTGTTTTTGATGTCGTTGTATTTCGAAGTCCCTGAGTGGATGGAGGATGCCCTCCGGAGAGGAGGGGCAGGTGACTGCTGATGACAGCTGCACAGTCACACAGGGTCTGAAATCTTTTTTGTTGGTTGTTGGTTTAACTTGAAAGTAACGATTTTTCATCACAGCTTGTAAACCTCTACTGAAATCACCCCGACACTGTACCTTATAGAGACCCCTGACACTGTAGACACCATAGAGACCCTCAACACTGTATACAGGCCATGCAGAGGCTCCTGAGAACATAGACTGTGAACGCTGACCCCAAGTGTCTCTGAAGTGCCACTGCAGTGTCAGAGAATGACACTATAGAAACCCCTTACACTGTACCAAAGACCATTAGACATCCTCAGCACTGGACACAGGCCATATAGAGGCTCCTGACATGTAAACAGACCCTATAGAAACCCTTGACACTGTACATAAGATGTATAGAGGCCTCTGTTGTAGGCAAGCCCTGTAGAAAACAGTTCAGGCGTATTCTATCGAGACCAAGGAGATTGTATGCAAGCTCTGCGGAAATCCGTGTCTGCTGTACACAAGCCCCTTGCAGAATCCAGCCTCTATCAGTCCCCTGCATGGCATTCAGGCCCTGTGCATCCCAAGGACACGGTGCACAAGCCTGTCAAGTCCCCTGAGCACCTACACACGTGCTGTGGAGATTCTGCAGTTTGTATACAAGTCTGCAGTCCTTCCTGACTGTGTATACAAACCCAGGGCCAGACCCCTGGCGGAGCGCGTGTGTGCGGGACTGTTTTGCGCACGCGCGTGTGTGTGTGCGTGTGTGTGTGCGCGTGCGTGCGTGCGTGCGCGTGTGTGCGCGTGTGTGCGCGTGTGTGCGCGTGTGTGCGCGTGTGTGCATGTGCTCAGAAAGCAGCGCTCACACGAATGCGCTCAGCGATCGGTGAAGCTCTCTGCTGCATGGAGTCTCCTGGCTTCAGGGGGACGAGAGAGGGGACGAGCAGTTCTCTGTGCTTAAGCAGGAGCTCTGCTGCGGCGGTGGGGTTATTGACTCCCTGGGCCTCAGTCCACTGAACCATCTGGGCTGCCTGGGGCTGAGCTGAAAGAGTAGATCAGTACAGTCAGAAGGGTCGCCACTGCTGACTGTGGTAAATCAGGACCGACAAGATGTCCCGTGTTGTGCTTCATCAAAACAAGACAACAGCCTTACTTTGGTTACAGGGGTACTACTGCTCCTTCTTAGGATTGTTATAAACAGGGAGAACTGTCCACCAGTAAAAAATTGGCTTTGCAGCTCCTTGCACACTTCAGCAGATCAAAGAACTGGACCCCAGACGGCCAGAGCTCAGCTCCCGCGGCCCCTGGCCCCCGCTGCTGTCCCCGAGCTCACCGGGGGGCCTCTGTGCAGCCGAGAGCTCGCTCCGCTGGCGCAGCGCGTGTTGTGCGTGCGGCCCGTCCATACTGACGCTCCTCCTTTCCTGCCTTCCCCCCCCCGCCAGACGCTATGGTAGCTTAGACTCCGCCACCAACGGCCGCAGCGATCTCGAGTCGGCCTCGGGTTCGAGCCGGCGGACCAGCCGCCAGTACTCTCTAGACAGTAGGCACTCACTCTCTGATAGGTGGGTTACCGCACCGCGTACAACCCACCCCACCCCCCCGCTGCTCCAGCCTGTGGCTCGGTCCCGCTGTGGTGTCATTGGTGGACGTGTCCCCTCATCCCTGCTGTGTGCATGCGCTGGTCCCCGCGGTGTCCACCTCTCTCCCGCTGTCCGAGTGCTGGACCGCCTCCATGGCCCTCCCTGTATCTGTATGTGTGCTCTCCTCCTTCCTGCTGGTAGCAGATGCAAAAGCCGCTTACTAATTCATGCAACTGTTCGTGTTTTTCGGATTTATCTGAGGGGCTGGAGGTCGATGATAAAATGTTTTGTTCCGAAGCACCCCGCAGATTGCCTTTCTCTGGGCGGCAGGAGGTGGTGGCCTGGACTTTGTACTCTTTTTTCCTGAAATTTAAGTTATGATACGGGAACGAACCTGGGAAAGGAGGGTTCGGTCAACTGCGACAAGCTGGGAGACCTGGGAAGGACCGAGACTGAGAATGTGGAGGCTGGGTGCTGTGGGCTTCTCCTGGCGTGGGCAGGGCTGGCCAGTCGTGTCCCGGCACCGGGTCGGGGGGCGGCCCCAGCGGGTTGCGCTGACGCGACAGGAGAGAGACGCGCTCTCTTGTGTGGGGGGCGGGGTCTCGTGCGTTCTCGAGAATGATCAGTGATTGCTAACCGGGTGGCGGTCAACGCGGAGGCCCGAGTCTCCGCCTGACCCACCCCCCCCGCTCTGGCCCTCTGTCTCCCCGGGTGCAGCCCCACAGGCAGCAGCCGCTATGCCTCCTCGGCCGAGCTGAGCCAGGGCAGCTCCCAGCTGAGCGAGGAGTTCGAGCCGGACGACGGGGAGAGCCTGCGGGGCTCGGAGCTGTACGACGACCCCGAGGCAGAGGACTCCTACCACTCCTGCCACAGCTCGGTCAGCTACGGCAAGGACTCCCTGCCCCCGGACTGGGACCCCGAAGAGCCCGCGGGGGCCTACAGCGATGAGGGTGGCTACTCCAAGGATGGTGGGGAGGAGGGGGCGCTGTACGACGAGGAAGAGGACGAGATCTACGAGGGGGAGCTGTACGAAGACGACGAGGACCTGTACCCCCCCGACGCCCCCCGGGAGGAGCCCGAGCCGCCTTTCGCCCCCGCCCCGGCCCTCGAGACCCCCGCCGCCCCCCGCCCGCCCCTGGAGAAACAGGCCTCGCTCCACCAGGCCCAGGCCCAGATACAGCATCCCCCTGCCCCGGCCCCCGCCTCGCAGACCCCCGCGGTACCCCAGGCTCCAGTCCCTGCTGAGGCTCCCCCCATCAAAGAAGAGCCCCCTGCCACCCAGAGTGCCCCCGCTTTCCCCCCAGAGAAGCCAGACAGGTGAGCCCACGGGTCCAGCGCAGGAAAGCGTTGGAGAACAGGGGGTCGTGCATTTGGGAAATAAGCTTTCCAGTGCTTTGTGTTGACAGGTCTTAAAGCTCTGTCCCTCCCCCCTCCCTGCTCCCTCCCTGTCCCCCCTGTCACTCCCAGCTTCGCTGCGGCCGAGGCCCTGGACTCCACGTCAAGAGCCAAGGCCAACTGGCACCGCGTCTTCAACAAGGTCCGCCTGCAGCTGCAGGAGGTAAGACGGGCGCGCGAGGCCCAGCCCAGATCCTGTCTCTCCCATCTCCTCCCACGTCTCTGATCTCTCCCATCCCTTCTGTTGCTCTTACTTCTCCAGTCTCTCCAGTCTCTCCGGTCTCTATCCATCTCTCCGGTCTCTACCCATCTCTCC